ATCTAGTGTAGTTGGAGACTAAAATCTATATATCATGCTGTCTGAATCATACTACAATTGTGGTATGGTATAATTTTTGCTTCTTTATCTTTCCTCCTTCATTCCAAGCCTTAGCCTAGCTATACGCGCAGCATCTTTGCCCCTTCTATGTACTCACTTCTCTGTAATGTTTGTCTATTGTATGATGTCCTAATTATTAATCTATGTTGGGTTTGTTGGATTATTTATGGCTGGTTAATTTTGGGTTTGTAGGTGGCTGAATTATGTCTATTAGGACCACCCAATAATTATCTTTATTTTATTTTGGATGAATTATTTTATTGATTGGGGCCCTTTGTCCTCCAAATTAAAGTATGAGTTCATTAGGCAAAGTAGTATGAATTAATGTTGAATTAGCCAAAAGAGAATGATTCTTTTCTTATCTTACTTCAAAATTCAAGTGGCTTAAAGTCATTGACAACTCCCTTTTTGTCAATTGAAATATTCTTATTCTAATGTCACAAAGGGATTTGAATCAAACTTTAAGATGTTGTTGATAAGGCATGTAAGATTATATTCAACCAGTGAAGATATAAGTGCTTGTCTTGTTTGTTTTGATTGAAGCTTGTGCAGAAGTATTATCTGAATATAATTAAAAGATCTAAGATAAAAATATGAGAGGATAGAATGTATCAAAAAAATTATTGTTATCATTGGTAATTATAAAAAGTATACTACCATATCTTATCAAGATAAAAAATCAACTTATATAAACTTTATTCTATAAGTTAATAGAGATTTTGCCTTCCCCCGGCCCTGACACCTAGAAAATTACTCCAATTCAAAATTAAAAAATAACAAAAAAGTATTATACAATTTAAAATGTTTTAAATTATATAAATTTAATTATTAGATAAGAGTGAGTATTTTGATATTGAGGGTTTTTTCTTCATTTTATAATTTTTATTTTATAGTTTGAATTGTAAAACAGGAAACTCAATAAATAAATAAAGGAGTTAGTGTGTTTAGTTCCAAGAGGAAGAAGGGAGGAATAGGTATGAAAAGTTATTATTGTAACCAATTAATTTATTGAGTTTTTTTAACTTAAAATACAAGTTAAAAAAGTATTTATTATATATTTTTATTATTAATTCATATAAAAAATAAATTCTAATATAATTTCATCAATAATAAATTCAATCATTTTATATGATATTAATATTAAAAACAAAAATTACTTTTATAATTTTTAAACAAATTAATGGTGAAACATGCATCAAATGCTCCCTATAGCTAATGTTAGAAAGAGTAATTTTTTCAAATGATTGGTGGAAATAAAATTCTCAACCACTTGAATTCAAACTATCAGATTTGATAATAAATTGTTAAATCCATTAGCCTAGATCGAAATCCAAAGTTATTTTGTTAGTTCAAAATTTAATTTAATTAAAATAACGTCCACTTGCTTCTTATCTCAGGGTTTAAATCAAACAAGTTATTCATTGTTTTTTTATATTAATCTCTTGGTGTTTGGTAACTATATTGGGTTTCGACTAATATAGAATTGAATCGTATTGGACCTCATTAGGGGGGAAGTTTTCTCAGAATTTGTTTTTCCATTCATAAGATTTAAACTCGAGATCTTATTTAAAAAGAATTGAAATCCTTTCACTCGGATGAGCAGGTCGTTGGTAACAAGTTATTTATTATTAATATTTAATGCTTGTGTTAATTTTAAGCACTAGGAGCTCCGTACTTGGGCCAGCATTTGATCAAATCAGGTGATGGAGAGAAGGGCCCATACACTACACCACCAGCTGTATTTGTTCTAGAAAATGCATTTTAAGGTATTTTAGAATGGCTATTGTTTTGTAGTTCAAACAATATTGAATTATAAAATATGTATTATTAGATGAAGATAAATTCTTTTAATCTTAGAGAGTTCTCGTCATCTCATAATATAAATTATGTAATTTAATATACTCTAAATTACATGATATATTTTTATTTTAGAGTTTATGCATCTCAATACTACCCTGTTCCATAACACACCTGTAAAGATCATGGGGTCTTCATTTTTCTTCCCCTTCCTTGTTTTGTTTCATAATTCCATTACTTGTGGTGTCTATGTTTCCTCCTGTCATCTAAATCTGAGAAGTCTTGCACAAGATGAATGGTTGTGGTTGCTAGTTCCATACTACAGATTTGACAATAGCCAATCTCTCACATACAACACAACTCTATGTCCATACCGACAGGATATTTTCAATTCCCTGTTTGATACTGTAGTCATGATCATACAATTAAACTTCTAACAACAAAAAGGACGGCAAATATTTAACATTAATACCAAAAACAATGACAACTCTCACATTTGACAGATCATGGTTTTTTTTTTTCCTGATCTATCAAATGCCATGTTTTAAATTAAATACAATTCGAAGCTGCATCTTGGCTTAATATATATCACACACACTCTTATCTTTCAATACTGACAATGTAGGCATCCCATATGTATGCATTTAAGACATGTAATGTACTACAATTGCACAAACAATTTTGTTTTTCTTTTTGCCGACAAAATGAAGTGGTTGAAGTTTCTCAAAATGAGAAGTTCATCATGTCCATGCTCAGGCTCTCCATCATGACATTCTCCATGAATCCACATTTAGTGGGTGCAGCCTTCTTGAAACTCCCTCGCTTGAATGAGCAGGAGGAGAGGGGAATGATAGGAATGTTCTCGCAGTTGCAGAGCTCGATCATGTACCCATCTGGGTCATGGAAGAACACCTGATCCACCATGTTCCCCTCGTCCTCCACCAGAGCCGTCACATATTTCATTCCCATGTCTTCCAGGCTCTGCTTCACAAGGCCAACATCCGTGCACTAACGTATCCAAAACAAAACAACATCAGGTTTCATAAAAGGGAAAACTTTTATTTTGACTCAATATGTTCATGCATGTACATATTCATACCTGAAATGAAATGTGGTTGTCCTTAGGATTGATTGGCCTTGGTTCAACAAGGGTGTCGAAATCATTGAGTGAAGGGTTCTGAATTAAGTGTATGCCAATGCCGTAATTATACAGCCTGCAAGCATATAAACATAATACCAGTTCAGTAAATCTAAGAAGCAAAATTAATAAATATCATGAAGAGGAGGGTTTGAGCTAATTACCAAGCGCCATTGAAGTTGAAAGAAGAAGGGCGTTTGATGAGAACAAAGCCCAAGACTTGTTCATAAAACCTGACAGAGTCCCACACTGATCTGCACAACAATGAGACATGGTTCAATGAGAGCAGTGGCAGTCCCTCATAGTTGCCTACTTCCTCAATCTCCATCTTCCTTTCGGTTTTCCTCTGTTTTGCTCACACTCTTCTTCTTTCTTTAGTTATCGCTCGTACTCACTCGATTACTTGTGACTCCATTGCTCTAGGAGGAGGCCTTTATAAAGCAAAATTTGGGACACATCTCGCTCCTGTAATTTCAATTTTAAGTTATTACGAGGAAATTTCCTAGCAAATTCTCTCACCCCACAATGGACGTGGGAGAATAATTATTAGAAATAAACTTAGGATTGATTAATTTGTATAATGGATGTCTTTTGAAAAAAAGGGTAAACATCCATTAATGTAGCAGGAATTTTGTTGTTTTTAAGCATTATTATTAAAGAGTGAAAATAAAAGAGAAAAGTTGTGCGATCATACCAGCACTAATATATCGTATGCCGCCAAAACTTCAAAGTATCTACAGAAAATAAAGGTGAAAAGTTCCAAAAATAGGAGGAAGTTTCTTTGATGTTTCTAGAATTGTCATTTTTTTTTACACAGGAAGAGGAAGGACGGTGGAGAAGTACATGGGATACTTTTGAATCCTTGAATTTGCACACGCAACTCACAAATGGATATCTGGGACAATTGTAACAGCAGTAAATCCTCAAAAATCTCCATTCCAAAGAAAGATCAAATTAGATGGCTCTATCATGGAACAAGAAAAAGTGGCCCAGAAATATCCATAGGGGATGGAGGCAGGATATTTGTAATGGGCCAACGACTCAAGTTCGAATTGGGTACATTTGGGTTAACGCTTTACAGATTCTACTGCCCATATTTCATGGATCAAGTCATGATTATTTTTTCGGCTAGCAGATCAGGCCATGATCGGACAACGCGCGTTAAGCAGTGCGTCACAAAGGCTTGATTTTCCTTAAGCAAACAAAATCCAAAGTACCAACGAGTTGTTCGTCTCAATAAAAATGATTTGATTTTTTTAAAATAAAATTTTAAATTTAAATCTTAGGTGTTAGGCATTTAGACCTCACGATTTAATGGTCATAAATCGACTTGTAAGATGTATCCCCCAACTCAAAGGTTGGGATTTGATTCCTCCACTCCCAAAAATTGTAACATTGTTAAAAAAAAAAAAAAACTTAAGTGTTAAGAGAGTTTTTCCAAATAAAATCTGACGCATCTCAATTCTAAATTAGTTAGGATATAATATGATTATAGAATACCAAGAGATTAGTACTAATAAAAAAAACGAAATCCAAAGTTCTACCAAAAAAAAATCCAAAGTGTCCGCTGAATATAATTCTGGTACTGACACATTATGATATTGACTTACCTAAATTTGCTTTGAATTTGATTTATTCATTGGCTTAGGATTTTATCGAATGATAACGTAAGTTTTATGTTCGGTCAACTTTTGAAAATGATTTATGTATGAATTTATTTATTATTTAATAATATATTATGATTATAAATTTATGATTTTTTAAACTTGTAATAATTATAATATGTATTTGTCTAAT